ATTAGAAAAGTGCCGGTCAAAGGTCTTCTTTGTTATTTATTGAGCTTTAAAACAAATGAATAATGACTCTATATAGGCTATAATAAAACACGGAGGACGGAGATCTCTTTTTCTCCCCCTCTTCTGACAGCCCAGCAGCTGATCAGAGCGGCTCCCCTCTCCTGCAGGGGGGCGTGGTCAGCTGCAGCTCAGAAAATCAGACCCGTAGACGGCAAACAACACATAGAGCGAAATGAGGCATGGCTAAAATGCATGATCTGTTTGGTATTTCGAAAACAGAAACGTATAAATATACCTTATATAGGTATGGCCCTACAATATATCATTTAAATATAGCATGATAGGTTTCCTTTAAATGATGAGTACAGTAAAACACAAAACACAAGCATAACAGGCCTCCTAGTTACTGGAGGTGTGCACAAACATCACTCTGGCAGTAGTTAAAAGGAAACCGCACTATTTTTTCAAGCGCGGAACACACGCAGAAATAGGTCAGCTGTGTTTTTTAAAGCGGGAGGGGAAATACAGTTCGTATTTTAGGTCATGGTTTGCCGCGCCATCACATATGTTCCTTTTTAAGTTCGAAGAAAAACAAAAGTATGAGAAACATAATGACAACAGGAAGTCTTGATGATCCTCTTAGAAGTTGAACTGCTGACCCAGGAATTATTCAATTTAGATCAGGGGTGTCAAACTCAAGGCCCGGGGGCCAAATCCGGCCTGTGACTTCATTTTATGTGGCCCCACAAGAGCTTGCAAAGAATATAATATGTTTATTATAAGGTTAAATACCGATTTACAGAAGCACGTTGCCCATAAACTACATGTAGCACAATGCATCTCAAATTTCTCAGAATTTGACTTTCTTTCTTCAAAATATTCATTTGTTCTCAGAGTCTGACTTTTTTTTCAAAATGTCACTTGTTTTTTTTGTTTTTTTGACTTTTTTTCCAGAATTTGGCTTTTCTTTTTAAATCATTTTGTGACATTCTTACTGAAGAGACTTATTAAGTTATTACCCTATCCGATAATAATCCAATGCAGAGGCAATAATGTAATATAATACATTATTTTATATATATTCAATATTTATATATGTATTTTTTATAGTCTTGTATATAAAACTGGCCCTTTGAGTGCAACCATGATGCTAATGTGGCCCGAGATGAAATTGAGTTTGACACCCCTGATTTAGATAGAGAGATAGAGAGAGAGATAGAGAGAGAGATAGGTACTTTATTTATCCCAATTTGGAAAATGTTTGCGTTGCAGCAGCATAACAATTGTTTTCATAAGAGAAACTAAGACACAGAAATAAACAGTCCAATATATTTCAGAAATATAAATAATATAGCATTAAAAAGTTAAAAGATAAAAAATATATATACATGTGGAAATAGACATTTCCAGTAACAAATATAATGCAGGAAATTATTGTGCAAGAATGGATTATTCAATATTAAATAGAATATGAATGTAAAATGTCCTCCATCCTGCACATTACATTTTATTATCTGCAGAGGAACTGTTCTTATTTTGATTTTATTAAAAATGTATTAATTGGATATATATTTGTGTGTATTCAGGCAATGGCTACCGCGCTCTAAGCTGGTGCCGCTTGGGGTGGACCAGGAACTGGACAAGGAGAAAATGCTGGAAGGCCGAAAATCCAACATCCGCAAGTCCGTGCAGGTGGCCTACCACCGCGCCATGCAACACCGCAGCAAGGTGCAGGGAGACCCCAGCAGCGAGACCAGTGACAGTGACTGAAAACACACACAAACACACACACAGGTGTTGGTCCTCCAGGTGTTGTGGAGTATACATTTCTCTATGGAGAGCCCATCCCACCATCACAGAACACAAGAAACAGAGTGGGGGAAAGAACATCCACTACATTGGCCCCAAGACACATCATGCACACTAAGCCGTATTTAATCTGACATGTAAAATATTGTATTTAAGAGAATTGAAAAAAAATTGATAAATAATAATAATAATTATGAAGAAATATGCTATGTTTAAAACCACCAATCAAAAAATTCCTAGTATTATGGTCGATATGTTTAATAAGAAATGAGATGGTGGTTTACAGACTTCAAAAAAGTAACACATTGTTACACTATTATGCCTCTCACTTTCATTCTTACACATGTCATTTTAAATTTCAACAAGGAAATGCATGTGGTATTATTCACAGATTGTGGAGCACATCTTCACATCCACTGCCCACCGCTCAAAACAAACTCAAAAAAACGAACATGCCTGGTGCTAGTGTCCAGTCATTCGCGGCGGAGCACAAAGAGAGACTGACTTGTGGGCAACCCAACGATAATGTTATTTATTCTGCTTACTCCAAGGTCCACAAGCTCCTTTTCATCATGGACTACTTCTAATCACTCCTGCTACACAAGACATCATTGTGTGGTCCTTTTTTTTTTGTCTTTCACTCTGTGTTCATCATGTTTTTACGGTTTTGTTAACGTACGTCTGTCACACAGGCCGCTGGTCAATGAATAATGAGGACTAAACACATGATCGCCTCACTGTCTGTCTTAGTCTCAGGCTGATGGCTTTAGAACTTTTATATATACAGATTGCATAAAGATAGAAGTTTAATAAAAAAATAATTGAGTTTTTTAAACTTGTGGGTTGTGTCGTGATAACTGTGTCTGCAGCTGAGAGGGCACTTTTCACCGTCGGTGTTTTTCCTATTTTCCCTCGTGTGAAACATCCTTGTTTTTTTTGTTCAAATACTACCCCGCCCAATCCTCTCAACTTTTAACAAAGAAGTTGTGAATCTCAAGTGCTTCTCAAGAAAGGTTTAGACTGTTTCTTTCTGATACTTATCATTATTTTATGCTTCTAGGCATTGTGTACGCTCCAAGCTAAAGTCTTACTTCCCTAAACACTCAGGTAAACTTTCTTATTTATTATAAGAGTTGTGTTCCAATCTCCGGCATCTTGTGAATTTATCATGCCTTGCTCAGCACACAGGCTTTCTTTATCATACCTAAGGCAAGGTTTATTTACATAGCACATTTTAACAAGGCGATTCAAAGTGCTTTCCAAAAAACATATAAAGATAACATGCACCTTATTTCAATACATTAAAAGCCAAGAGGAGTACAAAATAAAACAAGCTTAAAAAATAATACTAATTTAAAAATAAAAGCATAAAAGTTGTGGTGCAGTGTAAGATATGAATTGATTTAATTGAAAACAGACCTATCCCTGGAGACGAATGTAGCAGCAGAAAATACATGTATGTTGGCACTAAAACCTTCAGTGCTTTATAAAACAACGGTAGTATTTTGAAGTCAACGCAACCTAGGTGGGTTAAATCACGGAGAATTTTTGCATTGTGCACACTTATTGGTTAAACAACCATTTCCATTTAATATTTGTTGCCATTGATGGACTGGTGTTCATGATCAGTTGCTACATGAGCCCATTTTACCTATCATGACAAACAATGTGAATTTCCTCACCCCAAACCATAGATTTTGATCAATCTTTTCCGTGCACGGAAGATCCCCCACCCATCTGAAACACTTACTCACCACAAACTTGATGTCGTCTGATTTGCAATCAAAACGTCACCATTCTGGGTTTAAGATGCATGGTTTCCTGCCACGAACAACATGTGGAAACAACTGATAAGCATCATTCAGGCGGTTGCGAAACCAGTTATCTACCAAATGCCCTGTTTTGGCTTTCCGTAAAACAAACTGCTCTAAACACACACTAATGCATTGGACTTCTGTGTGTTTTTTATGTGGTTAATTTAAGAATTGTGTATGCACAAACAAGATAGTTATGGTAAAACCACAGCTGCGAAGTCATCTAAACCAGAGCTTTTATGCACTTTATTTTACGATGGCTTGCTCTGGGCAAATTTGCTGCTGTGACTTACCCTGTCCTTTACTAACAATGATTTCTCAGAGTTGGTTGTGTGCTCATTTGTGTTCGTGGTGTAGGGCTTTGTCAATACTGACTTATTTTCATATCTAGGAGTATGTCTACAATCAATTTAAATTACAGACAAACTAATGATGTGACTTCTATAACGTATTGGTTGCACCAGTGACAGAGGTGGGAGAAGTATACTCAGATCTTGTACTTGAGTAAAAAAGTACCAGTGTAGGAATACAAGTAAAAGTCCTGCATTCAAAATGTTACTCAAGTAAAAGAACAAAAGTATAAGCATCAAACTATACTTAGAGAACCAAAAGTAAAAGTACTTATTATGCAAATTGGTAAATTCCAGAATAATTATATGTTTTGATTATAATTATTGATACACTAGTGTTTTTATCAAAGCTGGTAAAGGTGCAGCTAGTTTTAATTACTTTGAATACTGCAGGGTAGCTTGTGAATTTACTCCAGTAACTAAAGTCTGATTTAAGGGTTGTTTATATTTCACATCATTAATCCAAATATGTAAAGTAACTAATGGTACAAAATATATGTAAATGTACATGATATACCTTTGAAATGTAGTGACATGGTATATATAAAAATGTACATAAGTACAGTACTTGAGTAAATGTACTTAGTTACTTCCCACCTCTGACCAGTGATGCTTAAAGTATCATATACAAACATACATTCTCTATAAAAAATATATTTTGGTATGGATTCTTGACACTTATTTTAGGCACTGTGCATAAATGAAGGTAGGAGTGTCTGGGTGGTATTGTACTATTATTACTTTAAGGTCTGCAGGGGGATTCTGCCGTTTGGTTTGTGTGGGTGTGGGTGAGAGACAGATCACAATGCTCTTAACCATCACTTCCTGGCACCAGGTAAAGGTGGGTTGGGGGCTCATCTTACAGAAAGAGAGAATCACACAGTAACAGACAATACAGGTTCCTCAGGCACTATTATTTCCTGCTGGTGCCTCAGTAAGGTAAAAGTGGGCTTGGTTTCTCCTCCTGAGACTTGATAGAGAGGCGGAGCTGAGGCCACGACCATATGTATGCAAAATTGTTTTTTTAGCGCCCTCAAGATTTACGTCTTTCTTGGCAGGACCTGAACACAGCAGTGTGCTCCTTGTGGCACAGATCACTAGCAGACACCTGACACATGGACCAACCAGCGGGAAAACTACAGCTTTGTGAGGACACAACATTGTGACTCATTACTTACAAAATATGCAAACATTTCCTACTTTAAATGTGCGGTATGTTTAAGAGTCGCTTCACCACCGCACTGGCTCTTATATCCGTCGTTGTGGCTCCACTGCCGCTGGACTGTGCCACCATAACATGTCGGGTGAGTTTAATAACAAATAACTATTTAAATATTTTGGGGGCATGCATCTTCTTTTCATGATAAAGTTAAATGCAGTGTTGGTGAATCCCTAAGCAGTTGTGATAATGCTGTATCCCTTTCACCTCTCAATTATGTATTTCTCTTGTCCCTAATTTACATGCAGGAATATCAAGGAGGACATGAACATGGTATGTTTTATTATCAGAGTCTCATCCCAATAAAAGCATCAGTGTCAGTAGCCACAGGGTCTCTTGCTGTACTAATGCTCTTCTCTTGTCTGGACAGATGATGTTGTGGGACGCTGCCCTGTGAAACTGACCCCAGCCATGTCCAAGGATTCTGAGGGGGGTAACTCTGGATGTGTCATTGTTCATGTCTGGATAAAGACTGATGGTAAGGGGGTCTAACCATAGATGCAAAGTCCATTTTGTTATCTCGATTGTTTTACATTTTAAGATCTCTGAAGCTGTCATTGCCTGAAAAAAGTCTGTTTTCTTCCAGACCTCTGTAATGCCTCGACAATTGAAATTCGTCGTTCATCATCTGAGGAAATAATCAGGCCTATAAAAAAAGGGACAAAGGTTGGATATTTTCCACCTGCTCCAAACTCTGCACACATGCAATATGTCAATATGAGCCCACCGTTTACAGTTGTTCAAGAAGGGAGAACACAATGGTAACATGTCTCTTTTTCTATCTTTCTTACATAGTGCAAAAAAAGAAAACCACATGGAGAAAAAGTCAAGTGTGGAAGTAGTGTCTCACAGCCACACAGCAAAGCCCAATTTGATCTGGTAAGATTCATTTTCAAGTATACTCACACATGTCGTTGTGAAGGCAATTCTGATGATGATGGTGTTTGTTGTCTTTTTTAGTGGGAACTGGTATATAATTGTGTCCAAGATTCAGCAAATAGTGTTGTTACTGTGTCATACAAAACATCATCAACCAGCTGCAGTGTCAGCTACACAATACCAGGTAATGTAATAAGGATTTATCTCTTTTAGTTCAAAAATTAAGATTCAAATCTACTGAGACCAGAGGCCTGTACTACGAAGCTGGATTTTCGCTTAGCCGGCTAAATTCAGGGAAATCTCAGGCTTTCCGGTCCTACGACACTGGTTCTCTTTTTAGCAGGCTAGATTTCCATGGTAACTTATGCTGAGCGGCAAACCTGCTCCGGAGCAGGTTAGGTGGCAGGCTAAGAGATCAACTCAGTGAAAGCACTGCCTACTGACCAATCAGAGCTCCGTGTGCGGAGTTTAAAGCGATCAATTCATATGACAGGATAGAGGAAATACAGAAAAACTGCCGTTGCAGGAAAGACTGCCGGCCAAAATCAACTGACTCTGTGAACGTGAAAATTAATAGAATATCCCCTCCCATCTTCAGAGCAATCTGACTATTATAACATTAGCGTTAAGAAAGCTTACTTAAATATCTGCCACGACATAAGTAACCGGATCAGAGTAACATTAAGTACAGTCCGCGGCACTGTGAGTGCAGACGTAGATGTGTCCCATTATCATTCATATCATATCACATCATAATGTATCATATATTTCCTTATTTGAGTCAGCTTCTTGAGCCGTATCTGGCCGTGCAACACTCACAGTGTCACATACTGTATGCAGAAGTATTATTTTAAGCAACACATTAAGTTGACGAAACACTCGAGTCAAATTCTCCTAATTAAAGTCAGATCCACTCGTGTCTTGGACGGGGCAGTGATTTCATAAACCTGTTAATGTACGCATTCAAACACTTTTTCTTTTACCAGCTGTATTCACCTTGCAGGTGCAGCTATGTGGCTTTTATCCTGGTTAAAGTGTTTAAGTCATGGATGTTTAAAGTTTAACTTCTTCATATTTGACTAATATTAAAGTTCACTTTTCATTCAGGAAGTATGACGCTGCGCTGTCAGTACGCTTCTCCATGTTTGAGATTGGTCGAATGCTCCAAATACCACCCCACTCCACTTGATATCCAGCGTCGTAGTACAGCTTAGCGCCAGCGCGTATGTTTTGGCTTAGGCCAACCGGCTAACTCCAACATATCCAGGTTAGGTTGAACCAGCTTCGTAGTACAGGCCTCAGGAAATCTATTTTGTATCACTGTGCAAAGATCCCCCATTTTTTTTCCTGAGGGCAATATATATGTTGAATGTCATCCTATTTCCCTTCCAACCATATTGTTCTAGTGGTCTTTATTTGCTATGAATGCCATATTATAGCTTTCTTTATCCTAACGATTATATATTATTAAGCAATTTGGGCGTTTCATTTTTTTTATCTCAATTTTCAACTATTTTATTTGTTTTTCTTTTCTTTCTGCTACAATTGATCTTTGTTTGCTTTTTTCGAAAAACTCCCTGGTTCAACCTCAAAGGAAATGAGTTGGGTGTGACACATTCTTTCTCCGACAGGTGATCAATTAAAAGTAAAACAAACAATAAATAAAGTGTCTGAAGAAGTGTCTTTGGTCACCACCAGCAACAGCTCAAACTCTTTTTGGTATAGATTTTACAAGAATGTGAACTCGACTGAAGGCATTACATTTATTGTTGGCAAAATGTATTATCTTGTTTCCTATTATGATGATGATGGTGTAAACCACAGTTAACCTGATAATATTCACGCAGATGCAGGCAAAAATGTATCACGATAACTGTATTAGATTTGCATACGTTTTTCCTTCAGTGCATCACACGTCTAAATGTTTTTCCTTGTCGACACTGATGATTAAATCCTGTATATTATTTATTTCTGTGTGACTTAGATCCCATCCCAGACTTTGATCTGTCTGTGAACCAGTCGTCTAAATCCATCTTGGTGACGGTGGAGCCTGGAGGCAAAGTCAAAGCTAGATGGTGTTACCAACAAAATGGAAATTGTGTGGACTCGGCTTTCTCCAGCCCAATCACTGTGAGTATCAGAGGCACATTTATCTGCATGTGTGTTATTTTGTTTCTACACACTAAAGAAAGTAAGCATATTTGTTTTTCCCTTTTAGATTGATCCATCTCAGTCTCGATCAGGCCTTCTTAACTTCCCTTACCTGCTGCCTTGTGTGTGCGTGCAGGTATTTTCAGCTCCATGTGTTCATACATGCAAAGTTATTACTTAGCCAAATAAGTCTGTTTTTTCATACCTGTACATTGTCTGTGTTAACAGGTCTTTTACACACATACGGATGCCCGGCGTCATAAAAAGTGCCCATTTCAAAATAGCCACACAGGTGAGTCTGACGATGATTCACGTCAGAGTAAGATTTAATCAAAAACATCCATAAGGGAATTTTATTTGTACCATTGTTTTGTTATTGATTAACTCACAAAAATGACTTTGTTATTCTTTCATATATTAGTTTGATACTGTTTACTTTGATACCGTTTTCTTTTATATATGTTCGTACATTAATATCCAGTTCGTTTTATCCACGATTGCATCCTTGGATAAACCAGTCAGGCCACTTGGAGTCATAAAGTCATAAACATCTGTGTCCACATTGTTTGTATAGATGTCAGGGATGTTTGGCTCTCCTCTGAGGTCTCACTGTACGAGTCAAGTTTGAATTGGAGCTCCAAGTGTCCTGCCAGTGACCTGAACATCTCTGCCTCCCTCTGCTGGAGGCAAAACGAAAAACTCTGCACTCCTGTGCTCAATTCCACACTGGAGGATAGGAAAGTTGGGCGAAACCTGGTATGTTTGGCTTGGCTGCTGTTGGTATTAGTAATACATTCCTGATTTAATTAAATAAAGCTTAAAAAAAACACTGTGTCTCCCCAACAGATATACAACACATCTGCAGTGGACAAACACCCTCAGATGTGTGTGCAGGTGAGATTTAGCCAAATTGCATTAACCTATGTTCAGTTGCCTACCTTTTAGATGTAGATTCACATATTTGTTTTGTGTTTTGCAGTTGTCCCTACAAGGCAGTCAAGAAATCTATTGCCGCTTCGAGGCTGGTGAGTCAAAGAGGAAAACAAACATGTTGCTTATAGCTGATCATTGTATTTGAACGGTCTGTTTCCCTCTCCTTGTCCTTTACAGGTATGTCTTCATGGGAGGTGTATATGGGACCAGGCAGGCAGAGTGTGGTTTTGTTTATCACCTCTTTAGCTCCTGCAAGCTTTTCAGCTCAACTCTGTGTCCTTAATGAGAGGGAGTGTACACCAATGGGGCAGGTCCACTCAGTGACAATTGTAAGCATACGTACATTGTGAGAAAGATAGTATATTAATGTTAATTTAAGTAAATATCTGACTCTTCTTATCTATTTTACAGGAAGCGAATACAACTAAAACAAGGATACATGTGCCTCTTCTTTTCCTTGCTGAGAAGCCATGTGTGCAGGTAAAATCATGTGCATGCACGGGAAAGGTCTTTCTTGACATGGTGCGTGAGCTTTCTCTCTCATCTCCCTCTAACAATTAGCTTTTTCTGCAGGTGTGGCAGTCACATCCTGCTCTACTTGGAAGAAGAATTCTGTGCCCGGACTGTGAGTGTACTCAAGATGCACACATGAGCGCAAATGCACTGCTATGTGTACTTTTGTAAAGTAAATAAATGTCATTTTCTATTTCTACAGACTCGCCTAACAGATGTGGCATGTATGCTGTGGCAGCTTTGGTATCTGTGGTTATTGTTGCTTTACTGGGAATGTTTATCCACCGTCTCAACAAGAGTGGAGCAGCAGGTTGGTTCAATTCCCACTGTGCCTTTGATTGGTTGCATGCATAATCATTTGAATTATACTGTTGTACTGCCTCGATTTATTTGTGTGATTAGAACCTGATGGCAACTGTGGTACATGTACAGTCTGATGTGAAATTGAATTAACAAATTATTCAGAACATCTTCTTTTTCTCCCCTGTTTTTTCCTATATCCCTAGGTTGGCTGTGTATTCGGGAACCAGTGTTACTTGTGTGCTCATCAGAGCAGTCGGCCCACGTCTCTGCTGTGTGTGCGTTAGCCTCAATCCTGCAGGGGGAGCTAAGTGCCTCTGTGCACATGGCTTTGTGGGCCCAAAGCTCACAAACGAAAAACGGGACTGAGCCTGGGACTGGAGTGGCTGATCTGGGTCCCCTTCCCTGGCTGTACGGGCAGTGGGAAGCCATGCGGGAGGCTCAAGGAAAAGTGCTGATTATTTGGAGTCCTGAAGCCACGGAGACCTATGAGAAGTGGAGGGAGGAGAGGGCAAACATGCAAAGAAGTAAAAGAAACATGAGAGAGGAAGTGGAAGAAGTAAGTGGAGGAAGACTGGGAAAATGCAAAAGAGAGAAAGCTGCAGTTAAAAAAGAGTGTGATGATAAAGACTGGTACACACAGACTGAGCCCTCCACAGTGATCGCACCAGTATTTGTGGCTGCTCTGGCCTGCCTAGAGGGGGCGCTGCAGGAGTGCAAAAGTCAAGGAGTGGCCCTTGTCTACTTCCAGGGCCTCTGCCACAGCAGGGACATCCCAAAGGCCTTCAGAGGTGTCCCTCGGTTCTGCTTACCCCAGGATTTCAGGGGCTTTGTACAGGAGCTGGGGGGGATGAAAAGACAGAAGAGAACTGGAACATTGAGGTGGAACTGCTTGCACAGACTCCTGGCTAAAGTGCAGTCAGTATGGCTCGCACGGCAGCTAGCAAAAAGACTAGAGACACTGCTGCCTCAGACGCAAGGAAAGAAAACGCAAGGGCCGAGTGACACGTCATCACTCAAAATCATTTCAGATAAGACCCAGAGCAGGCTCAAGTTGCCACTTGCAGCCAACATGGCAAGGTCAGGAACTGTACAAGAGCACGAGCCTCTCCGCGTGTTGCCATGGTGAGCAGAGAAACTTTAATCTCAGGTTTCACATGTCTGATGTGGACAGACTCCTGTTCTGCTGGAAACATGATAGGTATACATGAGACACAGAGGACTGGTGTTGCACTGCCAGTGCCAATCATTCAAACATTTATTATTTGACTTTCTTTTTACTTGACTTTACTAAATGCGACCTGCCCACCTATCATTTTGTATATTAAGATGAGGTAAATACTCCGTCCTGTCTCCTGCATTGTGCCTCTAACAGACGCTCTTTATGCTTCTTTAGTCAACACCTGTCCTATCTACTCTATGTAAATATGCTTACCAGTAAGAAAATATTTGCAAAATATACCTCACTTACAAATGCACAATACAGGAACTAACACATTTGCATAGGTTTCTGAGCCAAAGCGGTCACAGTTGGAAAGAGTGCAACAGGTGGAAACATTTAGGGTATCTACTGAAGTGTGCTCCAATATTTGTTAGTTAATTAAGTTGTCATGTACCACAGGTATTGCTGTTAGTATAGTAGAGACCTATTATTAAATATGTGCACAGAAATTACATTCTAAAAACAAACTCTGAATCCGTCAATGTTTTCTTTGTTTTTTCATGTAGGCATACAGCACTTCTCTATTCAGCAAACACTTCGACTCCACTTGCAGAAGTACTAGTTCAACACTGTTTGCATTGGAACATTATGTCTGGTAGATAATACAAATGCTATTTATATATATATGAAAGAAATGACTTTTGCCAAAAAATAACTGATAAAAGTGCTTTTGTATTACAGAAATGAGTTTTTTCAGCATTCAGTGTCTCTTTTCGTAAAGGTTCCTGTTTTTTCTTGATCCACTGAACAAAAAATTGCCAAACTGCGGTATTCTGATGCTGACACATCTCCTTGACAGGATAACTGAGGAAGTTAATTGTTATTTTCAGAAAAATCAACTCTAGAAAAAACCTACTACTGTCAAAACAAGTTCAACACAGCTTAGGGTTCACGTCAGGCGAGTCATTTGATCTGATGTGGATACTGAACCAACTTGTCTTAACTTCAATTCGGCTAAAAAGTGTACATCACACAAAGTAACAAAGCTGGGTTAAGTTGCACAAAAATAACCATACAGTAATAGAAGAAAGAATAACTATTTTAGAGTAACAAATGTTATTTAAAGTATATATGATTGGATCACTCCAACTGGCGATAGCTCTCGGACATAAAATCAACAGCTGAACCGCAGCCTTGTAAAATGTGTACCTTTTGGCTTATGGCCATCTCGTTATCAGCCAAATGCATTTACAAGATGCAAAATGGCTTTGCCTTTTATTGTTGCTGAGCTACTGGACACAGGTGGTAGAGCTCCATATCGTACAGCAGATAAGAAGAAATAGAAATTAAAATCTACAACAGTGGACAACTGACGTATTCACTTTGATACAGATTAAGGATTAAACGTTAGCACTCAAACACAGACAATGTGGATTGACTGTTGTTGACTATTTGTACAGTATGGGGAACCATTTCACCTCCTACCAATCTATCGCTGTAGGAGTTTCGGTTAGATGCTTAAAGATAACTGGAATAAATAAATGAATAACGTTTTATGATGGTCCTGTGAACAGACCGTTGCCCTTTTGACTGTTGCCGTTGTTGTTGGTGAAAATTTGAACTTTTCTGATATGGTTATTTCAAAAACAACACATCCTCAATAAATCTTCAGATTGGCCTTTGGCTTTATATTGTTACAAATTGCATTTTTTTTTCATAATCTACATTTTGAAGACAGTGAGAACTTGTTGTGCATGCAGTGGTGGGAGAAGTACTCTGATCGTTTACCTTAGTAAAAGTAGAAATACTATGGTCTTAAAATACTCGGTTTGAAGTAAAAGTTATGAATTAAAATGTTACTAAAGTACAAATAAATAACTATTATCAGCAAAAGGTACTCCAGGTCAAAGTAAACTTCAAGTAAATATACTCACTTCACAGTGTTGTAGTGTTATGGAATATTATTATTTATTCATTCAAGAACTTCATTGTCATTATTAAGGCACAACAAAATGTATTGTGTGCCTGTCCCGTTGGTGCAACATATGTTGTATGCTGTATACAGTAAATAAAACAAAATAACAAATAAGACTAAAATAAATGTAACGACTCTAAAAGCAAGTAATAGAGAGACCTAACAAAATGATTATGAATAAATATATGAAGCTAAAATGACTACACTAAATGATCTAGCACAATATGTACAGATGTGGATTGCACATAAAAAGGCACTATATTGCACATAATAATAAGAGCTTATTGTACTGCTGTGTATCTTATTTGTTTTTTATCACCAACAAATACATGTCATAACATTGTATTGTTCATACTTGTTAGATTAGTAATGTAGTTTATTATATAAGCATATCATAGGTAGAAAAATATGTAGAAAAGGTAACTAGAAAAATATAGCTAATATCTAAATAATGCAGTAAAGTAAAAGTATGCTTCCAAAATGTAGTCGAGTTGAAGTTTATGTAGTATAACACTGAAATATATCCTTACATTTGTTACATTCCCCCACTGTGTGCATGTGACGAGTTTCCTCAATCCCACCTGAGCAGGTGACGACACGCCCAGCAGCACGAGCCGTCATGAGGCAGGACACGAGGAACACATTTGGAACGTCACAACAGTTTGGCGTTGGAAAGCAACGGTCAAAGGATTCTCCCAGAAATCATCCCTGTCATGCTGTGCTGCTGGGAGGAACTACGGATAACGGGCTCCGCTCTTTTGAGGAGAGTGTAGTCTGGAGCAGGAGTCGTGCGCCGGGGAGAGACTCTCCAAAATATGGCTCCCAGTCTCCTCCGCGCGCCGCAGGTTTCTCTCCGGCTGCTGTCGGTAATGCGCTTCTGGCTCTTCATGTCCGCGAGAGCGCTGGAGATAATTGACAGAGACGCACCTGAACTCACCTGTAGCAAGGTAACAAGTCACAATGACTGCGTTAATATGAACATTTTGAATTGTATCCCGTTTTGTTCATACTCAGGTGAATGGCGTTATAGTGGAACATGAATAACCTGTTAATCCGTATCTGTTTGCATGATCATTACACATTCCTGATGTATGTGTGCAGCTGTCTTTGTTTCGATTACCATTACTTACAGCCATGTTGTTTCGCACCAACAAAGAAAAACCAAGATAAGGAGTAGATAAGGCAACTATATCCTTTTTATTTTATTTATCTTAGGCCTACTACCGGTAGCAAGAATTGCATTAGTTCTTATCGGGGTTTTGACATCAGGATGTGATGAATACATGCGATACGGATAACAGACATATGTTGTGTGTTTAGGTAATATATTCTTTCATAGTTCATTTATCTTAACCGACATGACGCCAAATTATAATAAATGAGCCTATTATTGTTGGTTTGTACTAGATCTTTTGTTAAGCCACATTTCCTATGGAATGTTCCCTGTGTAAGACAACAGCCATAAAGGAAATTAAATCGTTTTTAGTTCACGTAGATTTACTTTATAAACATTAGGCTGCTGTGACTGTGATGGACTACTGTTTTTTTGTTGTATTCTTGTCTATCAGAGTTTAATGTCCATTACTTATTTACTATTGGGCCTGAGTGTGAAACCTTACTCCACTGATCCATTTCCTTCTTCCTTTCTTCAGGCTTCTGAGGGTTGTTGTATTTATCTTTGGATTTCATTTGATGTAAACCAACCAGTTACAAATCAATATATGTAGTATGACATTCACTTACAAGCACATAAGTAGAACTATAAATTAGAATCAAACTGAAATACATTTAATGAAAGTTAATTTGACATTTGACAGTGGGTATATCAATGGTGCAAATAATAAAATCACTGATGGATAAATTCCATTCCTGGTATTGTCTATACTGGTTCACTGTCACACTTTCATGGCTTACTGGGAAACTATTTCTTAGTAAAATTGTACTTCTGTAATGTAAGGTATACTGGTAACATACTTATCAATGTCTTACACTAAAACTGATGTTGCTCCCATTCATCACTTTGGTTATTGCTATTACTGAAACATGAGACACAATTACAATTTTACCTTAATTTGTTCACCTTTTTGTATTTTCTAATATGTATAGAGACCTTACATTTATTGCAGTCTAATGGTAGTTGTAGTGCTGTCTTTACTAAAGGATCAGACTATCTCTTTTAGCACTTTGGACATTTACGCAACTCAAAATGGTTGCTTCATTTTTGGCAAGTGTCATTCATTCTTAAAATGCACTTGTCTTTCCTCAGGGATTAACTGACTGCACTGTGAGCTCAGGTAAGATAACTATCAACACAAATGCATCCTATACCAGTAATACTCTCAGTGTTTGTCTAAAGCAGAACGTCTTCTTTCCACAGCCTTTCCATTTATGACCAATCAAGATGGCACTATCGATGTTACAAATGTGCAGCTTAAAGTAATTCTGTGCTGTTCAGCCACAGACTGTGAACCATGCCTGCAAATCCTCATCACAGTACAAGGTAGCTTTGTTATAAATCTGTTGACTGTCAGCTATGGGTGACATACCTTGAATTCCTTATCACATTCAATGTTTTGTTGGCACTGCTGTTCGCTTAACAGCTTACTGTTCCCTGCGTTGTTATCATAGTTGTTTATCTTGGCTTTATAACATTGTGTTCTCCATTGAAGTATGTACTGACTGTCAATGTTGTTGCAGAAGCTGATTTAGTAAAAGAGGCTTCTGATCAGTCTGGAGACTGCAGTGATGAAGAGGAGTTGTTTAACACGAATCAAAAGGCAGAAGGAAGTGGCACATTTCCAGAGCCGATAGGTATTGAGCAATACACACACACGCACACCCACGGTATTCTATTTTCACATGGATTTTCCTTTTTTCCAATGTAATTACTTAGCAAACTCATCTTCTGTACTTTCTATGTTACAGCTACGGTGAAAGTATGTTTCAGCTCTCCAGGCTCCAGTGATATTTGCAAGAAACTCCAGTTTAAACCAAGCTCGTCTGGTTTCGATCAAGCTTCTTCCCAACGACCCAAGCATAAGGTATATGTTAGGCAGAATTACCTCTGTGTACTTATTGTTTCTGTGGTTGAATAATTCTAATAACAAGTCTCCAATGGTGGAAAGTAACTAGATTTACAAAAAAAACTGTCCGAGAGGATGCTTACAATATGTCAACACTTAAAAGCAGGATTTTAACGCAGGACTTTTATTTGAAATGGAGGATTTCTTCATTGTTGTATGGATGCTTTAACTAGCTAATTCTAAATACTTCTTCCACCACTTCTCTTTGTCGTTAAGTGCTTTTTGTTGTTACTAAATTATTTAAATACTTAATGTTTACCATATGTTTATATTTTCAGCAAAAACAGCTGGTGTTGACAGTGGAAAACGTGACATTGGGCAATCCCGTTGTGGTTCAAGTCTCACGTTCAAATAAAACGGAAATAATCACCATCCCATCTTTGGAAGAAGGTAATATTATGCTCAGCAATGTAAGCAAAGACACACTGAATTTCAGACTACTAATGCCACTGATCACCCAGTCCTTCTTCTCTTTTTCAGTTTGCTCCATGAATCTAAATAGGACTTTAAAGAAGTGTGATGGTAAGATCTGTTGTAAAATATAAAACTGCTGTATATAGTGTAGAGGTTTTAAAAGAAGTGTGAGGCGGGTCTCAGCAGGGGGCTCCACATAGTTTTTCCAAGCTTTTTCTTGGAAGAGGAGAGGAGGCTCAAGGTCTCAGATTTTGATCTAGACAAACATGAATTGTGCATAACGACACGCATGCACATGATAGTTTTACATACTTGTAGAGTGATACATCTTACTTGTAAATCCTAATGATTGATTTCTCAGTTCCCAGACTCCGATTTGATCATGAGAGAAATGTCGTCGTCGTCGTCCTCCTCCAGAGAGAAAACTCTAACGTCACTGATGAGCTCATGGTTTGGAATCACCCGACTGAAGAGTCTCTTGTGTGGGTTAGTCAATGCTAAACCTTCACATCAATTGCAAGTTACATAATCAATAATGTTTGTGTTTATCTCTTTAACCTTTTTTTTTTTTACCTACGTTTGCAGCCCAAAGACGACAGAGAGATCATCCTTCCGTCCAAATTTGTTGCACCATGCATGTGCTTTCAGGTATCTGACATTTGAAGTGTAGGTGGCAAGAAAAGTTGAGCTACAAACATTATAATGAAAATATATATATTGTAAACCTTTCTTTACAGGTATGGTGGAAGAAAGATGAGCTTCGAAAGGAATACTGCCCTTTCCTAAACCGACAAGGTAAAGAGTCTTTCAGATTACAGATAGGTCACATAGGATTCATTTTCATTGGTATGATTTCACAGCATAGCAATCCATCTTTTTCAGATGTGCTGGAAAGAATGCAGCACAACGTGTCTGTGTCTCTGAAGGAGTCTCTGCAGAGGGGGGGAGCCTCTGTGCTGATCTGGAACGTGACGGCCCCCTGCAGGCTGAACGCAGAGGTGAGCCTGTGCAAGAAGGACCCTGCAGGGGGCCGCTGTGAAGAGGTGAAGGGCTTCAGACAGGAACTGCACGATCATACCGGCTGGAGGGCAATACGCAGTGGATATTCGGTAAAAACATTAACAACGTTGCTGTCTTTGCAATCTGTCACAAACTCATTTTTAAAAAGGACTTGGATCCACTCTTATTTGTTGTACAGTTTGACTTACTATACTTTT